TATATTCAGAAGCACAATTAGTTACAATGGCATTAACTCTGATTCCTTCTTTTTTTAGATCATCAAGAATATTTTCTTAAGTTCTGGATTGATATGATCTGGTGATTTATTAGTTTTCAAAATGCTTCTATATTTTCTGAACCAATAATTAGCGCTTTGGATATCTTTCTTTATACCGGTACCGTCACGATAACATAGAGCAACATTATACATTGCACCCATAACACCCACATTAGCAGATTTTTCATAGTATTCAATTTCTTTATTAGAATCTTGATCAACCCCTTTTCCATATTAATAACAAATACCAACACTATTCATTGCAATAGCATTGTCTAAGTCAGCAGATTTCTTATAATATTCAAATGATTTATGGTAATTTCTCTTTACTCCAATTCCATATTTATAACAAAGACCAACATTCTGTATCGCATCTGAATTTCCTAACTCAGCTGCTTTCATATAATATTTAAAAGCCTTCTTTTCGTCTTTCTCAACGCCAATACCATGTTCATATTTGTCACCAAGTGAACGAAGTTGTTTAGAGTCCATTTTTTTTAAAAAAAATTTATGCCAAAAAATTTAATTGTCTGGAGTGCAGAGAGGACATTTAAATTTATTCAAAATAGTACAAAAGTTACATCAATAATACATTTTTGATCAGTTGGCATAACGACGTGATTTTGAAAATTTTTCATATCTGTCTGCATGCATATTTGTATTCTAGTGCAACAAAACTAAAAATTTTACTAATTAAGAAGACGTGCGGTTGATGATTTTTCTATAGACTTGTTTATCTAATATTGATATAGCTTAATGCCCTCAGTCCTATTATGTTCCAACCCTGATTTTTGGAAATTACTCATTAAAAAAAAAATCATTATCATATCATTAATTTCAAAAGACGAACCGGTTGAAAGTGAATGAATGTCTAAAGAATAAAAAACATTGTTTAAAATTTTGAGCCACATAATTCTTACATAAGTTATTTAAAATTTTGATGCTTTCTTACCTGCTAAAATATTGCAGTATAACAAATATCCTTCAAAAATGATAAATGTGGTATGTCAATATAAAATTATTCGGTTCAGCTCTCTTCACCGACGCTCCTTTCGTAGACACGCCACTTCACCGAAATCGTCTCACTGACATGTTTAACTCATAGACATTTAATTCACCAACAATCAAATCCTCGAAATGTTCATTTTACTGACATGTTTATTTTGTCGACACTAAACTCACCGACAATTAATTCACCAACAAACTTAATTCGCCGAAAAGCTTATTTCATCGACATTATAACTCAACGACAATTACTTCACTGAAAAGCTTAATTTACCGAAAAATTCATTTTGTCGACAATACATTTTACTGACAATTAATTCACCGAAATCTCATTCTGCAGACTGCACGATTCACCAACAATTACTCCACCAACAGCTTATTTCACCAACAAGTATAAAGCAAATTATTTTATGCGAAAAAAAGAAAAATCAAGGTTAGTAAAAGTTGAAGCAAGCTATTTATGTGAAAATAAGAAAAGCGATATGTGACCTTAATTATGCCGTAATGAAGACCTTGAATAATTTTATGAAAAAAAAAAGTCATAATTAGTAAGAGTTGAAGCAACCTATTTATGTGAAATTAAGAAAAGTGAAATGTAACCTAATTATACCGTAACAAAGACCTTGACTAATTTTATGAAAAAAAAGTTATTATTAGTAAAAAATGAAGCAACCTATTTATGTAAAATTAGGAAAAGCAAAACATGACCTTAATTATGCCGTATCGAAGACCTTGACTAATTTTATGAAAAAAAAGTCATTATTAGTAAAAGATAAAGCAACCTATTTATGTGAAATTAGGAAAAGCGAAATGTGACCTTAATTATACTGTAACGAAGACCTTGAATAATTTTATGAAAAAAAAAGTCTTGATTAATAAGAGTTGAAGCAAGCTATTTATGTGAAAATAAGAAAAGTGAAACACGATCTTAATTATGCCATAACGAAGACCTTGACTAATTTTATTAAAAAAGAAAGTTATGATTAGTAAGAGTTAAAGCAAGCTATTTATGTAAAAATAAGAAAAGTGAAACGTAACCTTAATTATGCCATAATGAAGACCTTGACTAATTTTATGAAAAAAAAAGTCATGATTAGTAAGAGTTGAAGTAACCTATTTATGCAAAATAAGAAAAGCAAAATATAACCTAATTATGCTATAACGAAGACCTTGACTAATTTTATGAAAAAAAAAGTCATTATTAGTAAAAAATGAAGCAACCTATTTATGTGAAATTAGAAAAAGCAAAATGTGATCTTAATTATGCTATAATGAAGACCTTAAATAATTTTATGAAAAAAATGTCATGATTAGTAAGAGTTGAAGCAAGCTATTTATACAAAAATAAGAAAAGCGAAACGTGACCTTAATTATACCGTAACGAAGATCTTTGACTAAATTTATTAAAAAAAAAGTCATGATTAGTAAGAGTTGAAGCAACCTATTTATGTGAAATTAAGAAAAATAAAACATAACCTAATTATGCCATATCGAAGACCTTGACTAATTTTATGAAAAAAAAGTCATTATTAGTAAAAGATGAAGCGACCTATTTATGTGAAATTAGGAAAAGCGAAACATGATTTTAATTATGCTATAACAAAGATCTTGACTAATTTTTATGAAAAAAAAAGTCATGATTAGTAAGAGTTGAAGCAAGATATTTATATGAAATTAAGAAAAGCGAACGAAGACCTTGACTAATTTTATAAAAAAAAAAGTCATTATTAATAAAAGATAAAGCAACATATTTATATGAAATTAGGAAAAGTGAAATGTGATCTTAATTATGCTATAACGAAGACCTTGATTAATTTTATAAAAAAAAAGTCATGATTAATAAGAGTTGAAGCAAGTTATTAATGTGAAAATAAGAAAAGCGAAACATGACCTTAATTATGCCATAATGAAGACCTTGACTAATTTTATTAAAAAAGAAAGTTATGATTAGTAAGAGTTGAAGCAAGCTATTTATATGAAAATAAGAAAAGGCAAAACATGACCTTAATTATGCTATAATGAAGACGTTGACTAATTTTATGAAAAAAAAGGTCATGATTAATAAGAGTTGAAGCAACCTATTTATGTGAAATTAAGAAGAGCGAAACGTAACCTAATTATGATGCTGTAACAAAGGCCTTGACTAATTTTATGAAAAAAAAAGTTATGATTAGTAAGAGTTGAAGTGACCTATTTATGTGAAATTAAGAAAAGCGAAATGTAACCTAATTATGCCGTAATGAAAACCTTGACTAATTTTATAAAAAAAAAGTTATTATTAATAAAAGATAAAGCGAACTATTTATGTGAAATTAGGAAAAGCGAAGCGTGACCTTAATTATGCAGTAACAAAGACTTAGAATAATTTTATAAAAAAAAAATCATAATTAATAATAGTTGAAGCAAGCTATTTATATGAAAATAAGAAAAGCGAAACATGACCTTAATTATGCTATAACAAAGATCTTGACTAATTTTATGAAAAAAAAGTCATGATTAGTAAGAGTTGAAACAGCTATTTATGTAAAAATAAGAAAAGCGAAATATAACCTAATTATGCCGTAACGAAGACCTTGAATAATTTTATGAAAAAAAAGTCATGATTAGTAAGAGTTGAAGTGACCTATTTATGTGAAAATAAGAAAAGAAAACGTAATCTTAATTATGCGTAATGTGAAAACCTTGACTTGAATTATTTATGAAAAATAAACTCTATATTATTTTATAAAAAAAGTTGAGATTAAAGATTTAATCTGTATGATTAATTATATTGTGCAAAAGAGAATATTAGTCAAAATTAAAAATATGTATTGCATAAATGAAATTATAAGTATTTCTAGTAATTAAAATAGCTATATTATATATAGTTAATCCCCTAAATGCAAATTCTTTTAAATTTCTCATATTAGTGCAAAGTCAATAAATTCTGTTATCTTTTATTATCCTGTCGAGCAAATTTTTAAATTGCAAAATTTTCTAAGTGCTTCTTAGAGCATATTGGAGAGATATGCACTAATGAATAGTGATTTAGTTCAATTATGCGCTGTCGAGAAAAAGCCTGTCATCGGGCTTTCAGTTATATTTTGTACTAGACACAATCTATGTAATTTATTATCAGTACAAAATATAATTAAAAGCCTGATAACAGGTTTTTCCTTAATTGACACTCATTATATAAATTATATTTACAAAATTAATAATGTATATTTATAGAAAGTCAACTATATACAAATTAATAAACCAGTAAAGCAAACAAATTATAAAACTTATATTTTATTTATGCAATATCTTAAAATTTTCAAAATCAAAAAATAAAAAATAAATTTTTAAAAATGATAAAGCTAAAAATAGAGATTATTTATAATACCAAGAAGGTATTCCATGAGAGACCAACGATTACAATCATTATACACTGAATGTATACGTAGTTCACGCTCTATAGCCTGCCTTCTCAATGGTGGCCTTGGCGCACCTCGTAAAATCACCTCAATGCTAACCTCAACCTTGTTCTGTTCTTTTTGAAGTTCTCTGATTATCATAAAAACCCCAACATGCACACAACTCACTAATATCTTCTATCTCCGGTGCTAACCCTCCACCACATTCTGAGTTCTCGGGTAAGTAAACTCAACATTTTCAGATACAGACCAAAAATTGGGGGGAAAGGATGGTTCAGACCGAACTAAAGTGCCATTCCTATGCACATGTTTAACTCTACCATGAACATAATTGTCCTCAAACCACTGAACGATGTCACGAGCCTCAACTAGAATATGAACCTTTAATTTATCGAACATGGCAGGTATTTCACTATGTGGCAAAAATGCGAGGACAGAAATATGCCTTATTAAAATACTGAAATCCTTATCTGTTCCATAGCGTATAACAAGCCCAGATGCTTAAATTCTATAGTAGATACTTTGTGCAAGGTGGAAATGGCACCTTAAATTTTTAATATATTTAAAATTAAATTTACTAAACATCGAACGCTAATCACATTTTCTTAAGGAAAAAAAAAAGATTCACTAAAAAATTAATTAAAAATCTTCATATCCCTTGTTCTGAACATTTTCAAATTCAGATTGAACTGCATTTATGGTGGCTACCTCAAAATCTGTAAGAACTATCTGTGGACTCAAAGTGACATCGTGCTCCTTAGCAAAATCTATCAAACCTTGAAACAACCTTCTATAAAATTCCATAGACTTTTCAGTTATTAAGGAGAAAACCAAAGGCATAATTCTTGAGTTTTCATTACTACCGATACAACCTAAAACAGTATATTCACAACATAAAATTAAATCAAATAATAATAATAAATAAATAAATATCAATACGAAAACAAAAATAACAAAAAAAAATTAGAAAATGAAATACTAAATTAAAAAACTTAAATTAAAAAAATAAAATTACAAATTAACTAAAATATACTAATAGTGTTCAACTCCACAGTTGTTATATCTCAAAAATTATATAAAGTTGAGTTCTAAGTAAAAATGCTTAGAACCCCAAAAATTTTCATTTTAAAATTATATGGCGTTGAACACTACTAGTGATTCTTGAATTAAACATAAAGATACCGTGAATAGTGTATAATTGCTTAAAAATGTTCAGAACTATTTTAAAGATCCCATCCATGATCCAATAAGGTGAATGGTTCAAATGACGAATGTTATTGGCTGTTGTAAAAATTAATATTCTGCTTTGATTTACAGTAGTATCGCTAATTAAAAAATCTGACCCTTTTAAAGTTTGTTTCATATGATCGAGAATAACAAAACTATCTAAAGTTAGTAGTTCTGTGGGAAGGTCTAAATGATGTACTCTTTGAATAGTTTGCCGAATAGCATTGAATGTAGAAGGTACAGATAAATATTTTGAAAGCTGTTGATAATTGCTGTTTGCACCATTTGAGCTGGTAATTCAGAAGTTTGACGTGCCTGTTTCCTAATCCTTGCAATCACTCTAGCGACTTCTGATCAGCTTGCACTCGCTCCATAATTATGATCTGATATACTTCGAAGGTAATGTTGATTGTTGATTAATCTGGTTATAGCATATCCGTTACAGCTTAGTAAATCCCTTTTCTCCAATACCAGTAGAACGTGTTTCTTCGACTTTTATTCTTACACATAAGAAAACTATATACATTAATCTTGTTTCTGCCACGAATAGATGGAACAACTTCACATATCATACTATTTATTTTAAAGGTAAGAAAAAATATAGTTTAGAGAAATATGAGTAATATAAGAATAAAAATAAGAAAAATATTTAATGTATGATTATAAATATAAACTACATGTAAATTTGGTTCTTTTATATAAAATTACTACACTACTGGTGACTTTTAGATCTTGTAAGATTTTAAAACAGAATATAAAAAAAAATTCTTTGTTGCAATTTCTCCTTATTGGAAGCAACATGCAATTGAATGAAACTTCTAAATTCTATTTCATTTTTCCTTATTTTCACTATTCAATTTTATATTTCACAAGTTTTAAGATCAATATAGAATTAATAGGATAGGTCCCCATAGCCTAGTGGTTTAGGTGCCCTCCCTCCACAGACAAGGCCAACGGTTCAATTCTAGCTGGAGCCAAAAACTCTGTAATCTACAGAAGCATATGAATGTACGCAAAGTCCTATGGCTAAGCCCATGTGAATAGAAGATTGGCATATAAGGAAGTTCCCGGAAAGAAGCCTCCCAATATGGAGAGTTGGCACTCGATGCGAGAGAAGTGGTGAACATACCAGAAATAAAGAGAAGATGCACTAGCGAGTGATATGGTGAACATAAAAGGAAGTTGCAGGAAAGGAATAGACTTACTGAAATTCAAACACCTCTGGCACATACCAGTTTCAGTGGATATGGGTTACACTGAAGTTGGACAAAAATCTAAGAGGTAATCTTGGTACCTTACTTAGTAAGTTTGCGTCGAGGGTAAATTCGAAGGACTATGGATACTTAGTAATATCCAATGTGGTAGTACTTTGATATAAATAGTAATTAGATAGCCCTAACCTGGTTGTCACCAATAGTAATATTAAAATATGTATATGCAAATAGTGTTGGAAAACCAGAAAGTTTAAATAGGGGACCCAGAGGTGGGTCTCAGGTATGGCATCTAGTGGGTAACTTGCGGGCGAAACTCTTAATTAGATAATGACTAAAGCTATACGTGTGGCTAGTTGTACTTTCATTAATAGACTACTGTATATAAATAGTTATACTTTACTAATAAAGACACACAGGCGAGATTGCCATTAAAAAAAAAAAAAAAAAAATCAATATAGAATTAATTTATCAATTTTAACGTGCGAGTACAATAGAAGTGGCTTTTAGTTATTCTCATAGACATTGAATTCCTTGCACTTAAACCACTTACTTTATATAGTAATATCGATCTATTATTTTATATTGTCACGAAATAAAGTATTTTATGTAAAAATCTAAAAATTGATAATTACTTTATTTAGATTTTGATTAAATTTCAAAGAAAGAAAAAGAAAATCAATCAAAAGATCTTATTTAAAACTGATTTAACTTTTTTAATGAAACGATCAAACTGAGCTTCGTGAAGCCACAAAATTATTAATTAGATATATAGTTTAAAGCTTAAATTCTATTATTACATAAGTTATTAATTATTCGCTTATTACAGTTACATAATTGTGATGAACTAACAATGATATGAGTGATGGGATATGAAAATCTGTAAATCATTTCACTCATTGTCATTACAGTGATATTTACTTATATAAGAATTAGAGGTGCGAATGAAATGATTTATAGGTTTTTATATCCCATTACTTATATCAAATGAGTGGTGCCAAGAGAAAAAGGCACTTCAAAATTATATTTTTTAACAGACACAATCTATCTAATTTATTAGGGGCTGTGTTCATATAATTAAAATTCTGAAGTACCTTTTTCCCTTAGTAGTACTCAAATAATGAAGTAATTAAACAGAGTAGTAAAAATAAACCAAAATTCAAATAATTAAATATAGATCTTACTGTAGCAAAAACAATTCAAATTTTCTCTTAATGCTAATGAATCAATTAGGTCAATGCTTTTGCATTACATGCTTATTTTGCATAATTAAGGTCATGTTTCACTTTTCTTATTTTCACATAAATAGCTTGCTTCATCTCTTACTAATTATAGCTTTTTTTTTTAATAAAATTAGTCAAGGTCTTCATTATGGCATAATTAAGGTTACATTTCACTTTTCTTATTTTTATATAAATAGGTTGCTTTATCTTTTACTAATAATGATTTTTTTTTCATAAAATTAGTCAAGGTCTTTGTTACAGCATAATTAAGATCATATTTCACTTTTCTTAATTTCACATAAATAGGTTGCTTCAACTCTTACTAATCATGACTTTTTTTTTCATAAAATTAGTCAAGGTCTTTATCATGGTATAATTAAGGTCATGTTTTGCTTTTCTTATTTTCACTTACTAATCATGACTTTTTTTTTAATAAAATTAGTCAAGGTCTTTGTTATGGCATAATTAAGGTCATGTTTTGCTTTTCTTATTTTCACATAAATGTGTTACTTCAACTTTTGCTAATCATGACTTTTTTTCATAAAATTAGTCAGATTTCACTTTTCTTATTTTCATATAAATAAGTTGCTTCAACTCTTACTAATCATAACTTTTTTTTTCATAAAATTATTCAAGGATTTCATTACAGCATAATTAAGGTTACGTTTCACTTTTCTTATTTTTACATAAATAGCTTGTTTCAACTCCTATTAATCATGACTTTTTTTTTTATAAAATTAGTCAAGGTCTTCATTGTGATATAATTAAAGTCGCATTTCACTTTTCTTATTTTCACATAAATAGCTTGCTTCAACTCTTACTAATCATGACTATTTTTTTTAATAAAATTAGTCAAGGTCTTCGTTATGGCATAATTAAGGTCATATTTCACTTTTTTTATTTTCACATAAATAACTTGCTTTAACTTTTACTAATCATCTTTTTTTTTTCATAAAATAACTCAAGATTGTGAGCGTCGTGAATAATAATGCAGTGATGAAATAATCTAATCCAATTACAACAATCTATATGGTAACAAGACCCAATTCCAAAAATGATAGATGTCGATCGAGGCATGGTGAGATATGGTCTAGGTATTTTTGAGCCTGGGCCTTGTAGAAATACTATCGGGGCTTTACTAAGTCTCTTTTAACTTTATTGGATGGTTACTTGTATACTCTATATAAACCTGAATACTAATATCTTTACTTTATTCTCTTTTTCAGATATTTTGCTTATTTCAGGATCACGTGTCATAAAATTTTGGTAATTTTGGTTGAACGAAGAAAAGTATATCAATAGTAATAATGACGAAAATTAGTATTAATTTATTTTACTATAAAAGAGATCTTATTACTAATTGATACTTTTTCTCTCTACTTTCATAATGCAAAAAATAGCAATTTCTTGAGATATCACAGGGACAAAAAAAAATGTTACATGACTTGTCTTGTATAATTAAGGACAAGTTTCACTTTTCTTATTTTCATATAAATAGCTTGCTTCAACTCTTACTTATCATAGCTTTTTTTTTTATAAAATGAGTCAAGGTCTTCGTTATGGCATAATTAAGGTCACGTTTCACTTTTTTTATTTTCATATAAATAGCTTGCTTCAACTCTTATTAATCATGACTTTTTTTTTTCATAAAATTATTTAAGATCATGTTTCGCTTTTCCTAATTTCATAAATAGATCACTTCACCTTTAACTAATAATGACTTTTTTTTCATAAAATTAATAGGTCTTCATTATGGCATAATTAAAATCACATTTTACTTTTTTTATTTTCACATAAATGAGTCACTTCAACTCTTACTAATCATGACTTTATTTTTATAAAATTAGTCAGGTTTCACTTTTCTTAAGTTCACATAAATAGGTCGCTTCAACTCTTACTAATCATAACTTTTTTTTTTTATAAAATTATTCAAGGTCTTTGTTATGGCATAATTAAGGTCATGTTTCACTTTTCTTATTTTCACATAAATGGGTCGCTTCATCTTTTTAACGAATCATGATTTTTTTTTCATAAAATTAGTCAAGGTCTTCGTTACGGCATAATTAAGGTCACGTTTCGCATTTCTTAATTTCACATAAATAGGTCGCATCATCTTTACTAATCATGACCTTTTTTTTCATAAAATTAGTGAGGACTTTGTTACAGCATAATTAAGGTCATGTTTTGCTTTTCTTAATTTTACATAATAGGTCGCTTCAACTCTTACTAATCATGACTTTTTTTTCATAAAATTAGTCAAGATCTTTGTTATAGCATAATTAAAGTTACGATTTGCTTTTCTTATTTTCACATAAATAGGTTGCTTCAACTCTTACTAATCATAACTGTTTTTTCATAAAATTAGTCAAGGTCTTCGTTACAGCATAATTAAGGTCATGTTTCACTTTTCTTAATTTTACATAAATAGGTCACTTCAACTCTTACTAATCATAATTTAATTTTTTTATAAAATTAGTCAAGGTTTTCGTTACAGCATAATTAAGGTCACGTTTCGCTTTTCTTATTTTCACATAAATAGCTGTTTCAACTCTTACTAATCATGACTTTTTTTTTATAAAATTAGTCAAGATCTTTGTTATAGCATAATTAAGATCATGTTTCGCTTTTCTTATTTTCACATAAATAGCTTGCTTCAACTCTTACTAATCATGACTTTCTTTTTTAATAAATTAGTCAAGGTTTTCGTTACAGCATAATTAAGGTCATGTTTCACTTTTCTTAATTTCATATTAATAGCTTGTTTCAACTCTTATTAATCATGACTTTTTTTTTCATAAAATTAGTCAAGGTCTTTGTTATGGTATAATTAAGGTCACATTTCACTTTTCTTATTTTCACATAAATAGGTCGCTTCAACTTTTATAATCATAACTTTTTTTCATAAAATTAGTCAAGGTCTTCGTTACAGCATAATTAAAGTCATGTTTTGCTTTTCTTAATTTTACATAAATAGATCACTTCAACTCTTACTAGTCATGACTTTTTTTTTATAAAATTATTCAAGGTCTTAATTATGGCATAATTAAGATCACATTTGCTTTTCTTATTTTTACATAAATAGCTTGTTTTAA